TTACCATCCTCCAAGACTGCAAATGAGTTTTCAGTTCAGTATTTGCCATGTCCGAAACACTCTTTGTCGTTCTCTTCCTCGTCTTTGCCGGCCCTTTCGCAGCCTACGTCGTCGCTGCTCTCGTGCTCTATCTGCGTCCGGCCTCTAAGAAGCTCTACCCCACCTTCAAGAACAAACACGCCTTTGTCGCCGGTGGCAGCCTCGGCCTCGGCCGCGCACTCGCGCTCCAGCTCGTCGCCGCCGGTGCCAACGTCACCATCATTGCGCCATTCAGCGATGAGCTCCAAGACGCCGTGCAAGAAGCGCAGGCCAGCGCGACGCCCGAGCACGGCGCCATCCACAGCATCGTCGCCGACATGCGCGACGCAGTGTCGATCCAAGCGGCCATCCACGACGCCGAGACCCACTTGGGTCCCATCGCGATTCTCTTTACGGTCGCTGGCAAGGCCGTGACGGCCAAGCTCCACGACGTCTCGCTCGACGAGCACAAGCACGCGCTGGACCTCAACTACTTTGGCACGCTCAACACGGTGTACGCTGCGTTGCCTGGTATGCGGGCGCGCCAGCGCGGGTCGATCGTCTTCATTGCCAGCGGCGCGGCCCTCGCGAGCTACGTGGGATATGCCGCCTATTCACCGAGCAAGTACGCCGTCCGCGGCCTCGCTGAGTGTCTTCACAGCGAACTCGTGGGGTCGGGCGTCTCGGTGCACATTGCGTACCCTGGCCAGATGGACACGCCCGGGTACGCGATCGAAAACGTAACCAAGCCCGCCGAGTGCAAGACCATTGAAGCCAACGACACGCTGCACACGCCCGAGGCTGTGGCCACGTCGATCTTGCGGGACCTTCAGAACGGCGTGTACAACATGTATTGCGGCGACGTCATGTTGCGTCTTCTTGGTAGCGTGTCATCGGGCTTGATGCCACGCAACAACTGGGCTTTGGACGTGCTGATGTTTCCGATCCTCGTCCTGACGGCGTGGATCGTTCGCACTGACTGGGCCAAGATCGTCCAAAAGCACCGATTGGACAAGACTGACTCGTACCAGCAAGCATAAGCGTTCACGAGTGGTCCCAAGGAAGCCGTTGTTGCATCGAGATAGCGAAAATAACATTTTGAATAGTCAACCGATGGGACCCTTACCTCTCTCGTCGGTCGTGGAGGATAGATGGCGCCGAAGCAGCCACAGCACGATGGCGTGTGTTGTGTGTTTATTGGCTGGAAGCACCCTGATGCTGGTAGATTCGCTTGGACGGATAGAGTTGGTCATTATCGCGCAGGTGATACACAGTTAGTTGCTCATACTGACTGGTGGTGCTCCCATGATGGAGCCATCGTAAATGCCAGCAGTGCTAACGACTGAGATCGTCGCATCAAGTATGTATAAATTCGCGGCTTGGGCAAGAGTATGGCGGGACGAGCAGCGACTTGCGGTGATCACTGATCGGCCCGGCGTGCGTCGGATCGACGCCATCAATGCGGCGACGTGTGGATGCGTTGGACCGGTACGTTCGCCGTCAAGACGAGCTCTACTGATGACAGCTCGAGCTCGGCCGCGAGGGCAAAGAAGTGGCGGCCAGATATGGATACATCGACATGCGTCGGTATGGATCCGCGTGGTCGAAATTATCGAATTTGGCGCCAACCGTATCCGGTCCTTTTTGTGGGGCCGTCGAAGCGCGCGGTTTTGAAACCGGTCATCCCGTTTGAATTTTGACCAATCACGGTGGCCAATTCTGCCCAGCACCATATTTTCAATTTTGAATCCAAGGGACGAGGAAGCGACGACCAAGATGGAGGTACGACGATCGATAGCCGCGCGGCCGAGGAAGAGACCGTGCTCATGCCCATCTTCTTCCATGGTGCGTAGAAGAAGCCCAAGGGAAAGACCAAGGCGAAGAAGGCCGACTCGTCCGAGGACGACTACTCGGGCGCGTCGTCGGGGGACGAAGCCCCGGCCCGGGGCGGCCTCACGGTCGAGCAGATCTACCAGAAGAAGACGCAGCTCGAGCACATCCTCTTGCGCCCCGACACGTACGGTACGTTGATCCGATGCCATGACGCAATGGCTCACGCATGCTTGCAGTCGGGTCCATCGAGCCTGTGACGCAGAACATGTGGGTCTTCGACTCGGAAGAGAAAAAGATGGTCAACAAGAAGATCACGATCTGCCCGGGCCTCTACAAGATCTTTGACGAGATCATCGTGAACGCGTGCGACAACAAGCAGCGGGACAAGTCGATGGACGCGTTGAAGGTCACGTTCAACCAGGAGACGGGCGCGATCAGCGTCTGGAACAACGGCAAGGGGATTCCCGTCGTCATGCACAAGGAGCACAACGTCTACGTCCCGGAGCTCATCTTTGGCCACTTGCTCACGGGCAGCAACTTTGACGACAAGAAGAAGAAGACGACGGGCGGCCGGAACGGGTACGGCGCCAAGCTCGCCAACATCTTCTCGACCGAGTTTGTGGTCGAGACAGCCAGCAAAGAGGATGGAAAGCGCTACCGCCAAGTGTTTCAGAACAACATGAGCGTCAAGGGCGCGCCGACGATCACGTCGTGGTCCAAGAAGGACTTTACGTGCATTACGTTCACGCCCGACTTTGCCCGCTTCCAAATGACGGGCCTCGACGACGACATCATCTCGCTCTTCAAGAAGCGCGTCTACGACATTGCAGGCGTCACGGACAAGAGCTTGAGCGTGTACTTGAACGAAGAGAAGATCGAGGTCAAGACATTCCCGCAGTACATTGGCATGTATAACCCGGTCGAGGTCGTCTTTGACAAAGCCGACGAGCGCTGGCAAGTGGGCGTCGGCGTCAGCGACGACGGCTTCCAGCAAGTGAGTTTTGTCAACGGCATTTGCACGACCAAGGGCGGTCAGCACGTCAACTACATCGCCGACCAAATCGCTACGAAGCTCAGCGCCACGATCAAGAAGAAAAACAAGGGCGAGGCCGTCAAGCCCGCGCTCATCAAGAACAACATGTGCATCTACGTCAGCGCGCTCATCGACAACCCCGCGTTCGACTCGCAGGTACACGCCCTTGCATTCTTGACGATAAGATATACATCTCTTGGTAGACCAAAGAGACACTGACGACGCGCGCCAATGCGTTTGGGTCGACGTTCACGCTCAGCGACAAGTTCCTCAAGCAAGGTACGCCATGTCTTTTCAACGCCTCGTGACACGTCATGTAGTCGAGAAGACGTCGCTTGTCGAGCGCATTCTGTCGTTTGCCAAGTACAAGCAGACGGCAGAGCTCCAGCGCGCAGCCGGTGGCGGCAAGAAAAAACGCCTCACTGGCATCACGAAGCTCGACGATGCCAACTTTGCCGGTGGTGCCAAGGGCCACCTGTGCACCTTGATCTTGACGGAAGGTGACTCGGCCAAAGCGCTCGCGATGAGTGGTCTGTCGGTGGTCGGACGTGACTATTACGGCGTCTTTCCGCTCCGCGGTAAATTGCTCAACGTCCGTGAAGCCGCGCACTCGGTCATCAAGAAGAACGAAGAAGTCTCAAGCATCATCGAAATCTTGGGCCTCGCCTACGACAAGCAGTACGAGTCGACAAAGAACCTCCGCTACGGCCGCCTCATGATCATGGCCGATCAAGATCACGATGGCAGCCACATCAAGGGTCTCGTGATCAACTTCATCCACAACTACTGGCCATCGCTCATGGGCATTGACGACTTTGTCCAAGAGTTCATTACACCCATCATCAAAGCGACCAAGGTACATGTACCTATATGCACTGTCCATCGCTCAATCAGCGCGTGTAGGGCAACCGTGTCCAGGCCTTTTACACGATGCCAGAGTACGAACATTGGCGCGAGAGCACTAACAATGGTCGTGGCTGGGACATCAAGTACTATAAGGGTCTCGGAACGAGCACGGCCAAGGAAGCCAAGGAGTACTTCTCAGACCTGAACAAGCACCGGATCGCGTTCAAGTACGACGGCCCGGCGGACGACGACGCAATCGAAATGGCGTTCTCCAAGAAGCGCATTGAAGACCGCAAGGAGTGGTTGCGAGCCTTTGTGCCGGGGACGCACATCGACTACGACGTGCAAAATATGGGCTACGCCGAGTACGGTTCCTATAACGTGTCGCGTCGATCCTGACACCGTTTACTTTGACCTAGCTTTGTCAACAAGGAACTCATCCTGTTCTCGATGGCCGACAACATCCGGTCGATTCCGTCGGTGGTCGATGGCTTCAAGCCCTCGCAGCGCAAGATTCTCTTTTCTTGCTTCAAACGCAACCTCAAGGTGCACCTTTCATTCTTTGTCAAGAGCCCAAATCCACAATCGTTGCGTAGAAAGAAATCAAGGTCGCGCAGTTGGCTGGGTACGTCTCGGAGCATTCGGCGTACCACCACGGCGAAGCGAGCTTGCACGGCACGATCATCAACATGGCCCAAGACTTTGTCGGGAGCAACAACCTCCACTTGCTCTCGCCCAACGGCCAGTTTGGTACGCGCTTGAAGGGTGGCAAGGACGCGGCCAGTGCTCGTTACGTCTTCACGAAGTTGGAGACGCTCACGCGTCTGGTCTATCACCCGCTCGACGACAGCGTGCTCAACTACTTGGAAGAAGAAGGCCTCTCGATTGAGCCCGAGTGGTATATGCCGATTATCCCCATGGCGCTCGTCAACGGCAGCGACGGTATCGGGACTGGCTGGTCGTGCAGTATTCCGAACTACAACCCCGCCGACATCATTGCCAACATCCGTCGCCGCCTTCAAGCCGAGCCAATGCAGTCCATGCAACCTTGGTACCGCGGCTTCACGGGGGCCATTCTCCAGAAGGGCACAAGCGACAACTTTTTGGTCCAAGGTCGCTACGAGGTTGTGAACGAGTCGACTCTCGTCATTAGCGAGCTGCCCGTCAAGACTTGGACTCAGTCCTACAAGAAGATCCTAGAGAAGCAACTCGAGACGAACAAGATCAAGGACTTCAAGGAGAACCACACGGACACGACGGTGCTCTTTACAATCTCGATGGAGCCCGCCACGCTGGCCGCGCTTCAGCAAGATCCGAACGGCATTCTCAAGGAGTTCAAGCTCGAGACGTCAATTGCGACATCAAACATGCACATGTTTGACGCGGCGGGCCAGATCAAGCACTACAAGTCGCCGCTCGAGATCATCGAGGAGTTTTACATGCTCCGCATCGACTTTTACGGTCGGCGCAAGGTCGCGATCCTCAAGAAGCTCGACGTCGAGATCATGGCTCTCTCCAACAAAGTCCGCTTCATCACGGCCGTCATTGAAGGTAGCCTTGTCGTCAACAACCGCAAGAAGAAGGAGCTCCTCGAAGAGCTCCGGCGCTTGAAGTACGACCCAATGCCTAAGAAGAAGGTCATTAAGGCCGCGGGGAACCCCGACCAAGACGATGACGAAGAAGAGGAGGACGCTGGTCAGGGAAATGTCTCGGCGGGGTACAATGACGATGATCGTGCTATGGATTGTGACTCATGTGGTATATGTAGCGACTATGATTACTTGCTCTCGATGGCGCTTTGGAGTTTGACGGCGGAGCGTGTCGAAAATCTCCGCAACGACCTCTACTCCAAGGAAGCCGAACGCGACACGATCTTTGCAACGCCGCTCGAGTCTATGTGGCTTGCGGATCTGGACGCGCTCGAAGCCGGCCTTGCGGGTCACGAGACGGCTCGCCTCGCACAAGAAGCGGCGGCGCTCAAGCAAGCCAAGAAGGGCGGCGCCACGATCAAGCGCGCACCGGCAAAGAAGGCGAAGCGCAAGGCCGATGATTCGGACGCTGACGACTCGGGGTCGGACTTTGAAGTGAAGGTGGCCAAGGCGAAGGCTCCACCAAAAAAGAAGGCGGCTGTTGCTGCTGGCGACAAGCCCGTCGCCAAGGACAAGCAGGTGAGGCCCAAGGCCGAGCCCAAGGCTAAGGCGCAGCCCAAGGCCAAAGCAGAGCCAAAGGCCAAAGCGGAGTCGAAAGCCAAAGCCATGACGCAGACGACGCTTGCCGGCTTTACCGCGACTGACACTAAGCCTGCGAAGGAGGAAAAGCCCGTCAAGGCCAAGGCAGTCAAGCCGGCGGCGCCCAAGGCCAAGTTGCTGGACAAGAAGCGGGAGAAGGAAGAGTCCAGCGACGACGACGGGGAAGTGCTGTCGCTCTTTGAGCGGTTGCAGCGACGGAAGGAAGCGGAAGCGGCGAAAGCTGCTGCGCCGGCCTCGACGACGGCAACCGCGGCTAGTGAGGAGGACAGCGACGATGAGGTGACCATTGTTGCCAAGCCCGCGGCAGCAAAGCCGAAAGCTGCTGCCAAGCCCCGAGGTTCGTCCATTCGTTCCGCATCTTCCTCCATTAACTTTGACGTGTTGTAGCTCCTGCGGCCAAGAAGGCAGCCGAGCCCAAGGCCATGACAGCCAAGCCGGCGGCTAAAAAGTCAAGGAACGTGCTCGACGACTCGAGCGACAATGGTGGTGACAGCGAAGACGATGTCGAGATGACGCCTGTTGCACCCCGCGCGCGACCAGGCCGCGCCGCCGTCAAGCCTGTCGTATACAACGTGTCGTCGGCCGAGGACAATGAAGACGACGACGATGACGCCGCCAGCGACTTTGACATGGCCGGCGACGACTCGGACTAAATTGCCTTCCTCCATGTGATGCATTTGCTACCTGCTTGAAATGGTTCTCTTGCGTGCAGTATGGAGTCTCGTACGCATAGAATTAGTCGATTTAGATAGGCCTCTAGTAGACGCGCTTGTACTTTTCTTTCCGCTCGGCGCGCTTGACCTGCATCGTCGAGCGCGTCTTGACCTTGCCCGAGTAGTTTTCGCTCTTTTCCTTTTCCTTTTCGCTGCGTTGGCGCGCCCGGCGCGACTGGTTGCGACCTTTCGCCTTGCCGCCGGCCGTGGCCTTGGGCGTAAAGTACTCGTCGTTCTCGGTCGCAAACGCCCCGACGGCCTGCGAAAACGCCGACTCGATGACCGGCGCGTTCTGCTTTTGCTCTTTCGCCAAGGCGGCTTGGCGCAAATGCATCTCTTCCTGCGCCTTCTCGTGCTTGCGCTGCGCGAGGAGGTCCCGCGCCGACGACTTGAGAACGACGTCGCCGTTGGCGTCCGTCTGCAGCTGGAGGTCGAGCGACGTGAACGCCGACAGGATCGTCTTGCGCTCCGAGATGACGCTGTCGCCCGGCGAGCTCGCGGGCGCCAGCGCCCCGGACGCGGCCAAGAACGCGCTCAAGCTGGACATCGACATGGTCGCGACAAGTGCAAACTCAAAATGCGTTCTTCCACTTGTTAAAACGGACGCTGATTGGTGGACACGTCGAGTCAATGGCCAATCAAAACAGCGGATGGCGTCGCCATTGACTAACCGGACAGCATCCTGGCCGACGAAGACGGCGATGATGACTTGTACAGGTCCTGCGCGCTCCTTCATCACAGACGCATGCGAACAAGTGGGATGACAAGGTACATATGCGGGAACACGTCGCAGCAAGGGCAATCGATTCGCTTGGAATGGCAGCCTGCGAGATTGAGACAGATTCGATAATGTACTAGTCGATGGATCGACTACCCTCTGGCGGCTTAGTCGTTTTCGGTACCAAAAAGCGCAGCAGCATGGATCGCGAAGTGACGCCGCAAAAGACACGCCGAGGCAACGCTGGCGGCCGGATCAAGGCCAAAGGCGGCGGCCGCGGCCCGGCGCTGACCCCGCGCCCTGCGCCAATGCCAACGCCCACGATCTTGCGCGCCGCAGCGCCGCCGGCCGTCGCGACGCTCTTCAACCCCGACCAGCCGCGCCAGCAAGTGCATCCGCAAGGCCACCAGAAGCTTTACGAGCCCAACTCGTCGCCGTTCTCACCGCCAGGACCGCTCTCACAGCCAGCGCAGCGTCCTGGCGCCAAGGCAAAAGCCGACCCCGCGCTACAGATCCATACGGCCAAGGCATCGCTCGAGCAGCAACAGGCGCCGGTCAACGGCTGCGGCTGGAAGCTCGTCAACGCACAGCTTCAGGTACACGCATACGCACTGTCGTCGGCGATCGCATGACGGTAAATGTAGTTTTGCGCCGACCTGCCACAACCTGCGAGCTGGGCCGAGCTCACGCAGTACCAGGTCGTGGGTTGCATTGGCCTGGAGGGTGTCGGCAAGTCGACGCTTCTCTCGATGCTGGCAAATCAGAGCCCGTCGACAACGAATGCTTGGTTTCCGATCCAGACCCTTGGTAGTCGATGACTTAGTACCTCTCTCATGACCAATCTTAGACTGCAAGCTCAGTGGTAAGCACCAAACCAATGGCATCGACATGTGCATCACGGACGACAATGTGGTCTTCCTCGACTGCCAGCCCTTCCTGAGCAGCTCTGTACGACTGCGACAGCTTTTCCATCCTATAGCGTCCATATGTACTGGTAGATGCTCCACGAAATGATCCGGAAGCACGAATCGCCCAAGTTCAACGCCCTTCCGCTCGAGTATACCCTTCCGCACCACGGGCTTTTGTCTCATAGTCGTGTAGCCAGCAGCTCGAAGTCGCTTCGCTCCAACTGCTTGTGTTCCTCTTTTCCGTGTGCCACTACGTACTCGTCGTCTCGGACACGCCCATGGACCACGGTGCACCACCTTCGCTTCAGACATAATACCCAGGCTGTCCCTCACCGCTGATGGCGTAGACCTTGCGGAGCTATTGCAATGTGGCGAAGTCCTCAAGCAGCGCGTGCCGAGTATCTCGGGCGAGCTCACTGAGCACTGCGCACAGGCCATTTTCGTGCAGACCAAGACACCACCGCGACATGCCGACTCGGCGCTTGCGTGGCTGCAGACGACCCACGATGGCTCTCTCTTCGCGTCCAGCACACCGTCGCTGCCTCTCTTTGCCCTGCCTCGTCTCGATGTACGCATCACCGCATCTGCACGAAACCACCGGCTCATGTGGTTATCTCTAGGCGCCAACGTTTCCTGGTACGACGATCTGATAGCTTCTTGGCCGTCGACGGCAGTGGTTTAGCGACGTATGATGCTTTTGCAACCTTCATGCAGCACCTCCCCAAGACGTCACTGACGCAGAAGAAGGGCCACAACCTCCTTTCGTTGAAGGAGTGGGTGCAAAACGCGGCTCGCATTTACGACAGTCTGCGCAAGTCGAGCTCGATAAGCGACTACAGCCGCTTGCTTCAAAAAGCCTCGTCGTCGGTCTCAGGCAAGTGAACTGCAGTGGCACCGACGCTCGGGCTTCATGCGACTGATGTCGCCCTTGGACGCGCGCAGCTTCTCGTGGTACAGCTGCGCGAGCTCGGCCTTGAGCCGGTGAATCTCGCGGGCGTGGACAACCGCCTCTAGTCACCCGGTAACATCAACATGTCAGGAGCGTTGAAAGTGTTTTGCAAAAATACGCACCGTACGGCACCGCGTGCTTGACGCGCCGCCGCAGCGCCGACGTTTCTAGCGTCCATGCGTCGCGGAGCTGTCCGAGCTTGGCGGCGCAGGCTTTGTGCCACGCGCCATTCATCGCTTTGGCCATGCGGGCTAGCGCTCGTGCGCTCACATCATTGAACGTCGGGTGGGGGACGTAGTACCAAATGCGTGTGGTGGCACGGACGGTGCGTACTCGGTGCGAAAGGTCGAGAGAATCGAGAGCACTTTGGTGGGGACCCACTGCTTTTCCTCAGTGGCCACCTGAATCGGGGGTGACTCGGGGGATGGCGGGTAGACCTCGCTGAGCTCGTGAACGAGCCGGCCCCACGCAAGGAGGTCGTCTTTCTGGGGGGCACCGCTGCTGGGGGCTACCCCCGGGGGGCCAAAGCTGTCGGGGGCGACAAACGAAGCATTCTCGAGCGACGTGTAAAACTAATCACAGGATGATGACGTATGCACGCGTGGAAGGGGCGAACCTTGAAGTGAGCAAACTCTTTGGTATCGACAAGGAGCGCTACAAGCCGCTGGTTGTCGCGCACGAGCTGGCCCATTGCTGCGGTTGACGGCGCTTGCACTTCAGCCTCGCGCACTTGACGCCGCAGCGTAGCGATATTTGTGTCGAGGTGCTCGCAGTGCGCTTGCAAGTCCATGTACAAGGTCTCGTAATGGCGCGCGGTCTCGTCTTTGGCACACAGCTCCGCATCGCGCGCTTGAAGTTCGCGCTTCTACACTCGCATCAGACACGCATCTCATCACCGCAAGCCAGCGCTGCACCAGCTCAAGCACCAACATCTCCATGTCACGCTCGCTCCACGCGTCACGAGGCGGCGGCGACTGGACCTTGTGACGTGTGAGTCAGCTTACATGCCATATTGTATATACCTACCACCACGGTTTTCAGAGCTTTGGCGTGGACACTCGCGAGCTCCTGCTTCGCAGCGTCCAAACGCTCTGTGAGCTGCGCTTCGGAGGCCTGGCTCGCCTGCAAGAGGAGACGCACGCGGTGCAGTTCGTCACGGACCGAATTTGTGTGGAAATGGGTTTGTTTGAGCAAACGCATCTCGGCACCGAGCCGATAGTACTTTTCCTGAACGTCCGAAAGCTCCGAGAGCGTCTGCAGGTGCTCGCTCGTTGCATCGAGGCCTCGCACGCGCGTCACGTCCAAGTCGTCAAGCCGCAGCGAGCGCTGCATGTCACTGCGAAATCGTTGTGAAACGGTCGACTTCGTTGAAGTGCATATTTGAAGAGGCCGGCGCGGGCTCCAAGATCATGCTGGGCGAGAGCCGAATCCTCATTTTCGCGTTCCCACGGTTGACAAACTCGGTTTTTGGGATCCACAAGACAAGGCGTCGGAGCGGCCACTCGTACAGTGGTTGGACGTTTATACCAAAACGCGTAGGAGCAGATCTAGTACTCCACACTCTTTAAGTTTTGTCTCCATCGTTGTTTTTTGCACATAGTCAAGTGTACAATATTGTCTACTTGTTAAATGATCTCTATTGAGCTTTGGTGCTCGCATCACTCTAATCACGCACTTCGTAGTTTCGCTACGATACGGTCCGCGGCAATCTGTCCCGAGCTCCAGCAGTTCGTAAAGTTGAAGCCACCGGTGACACCATCGACGTTCAGACACTCGCCGGCGAAGAAGAGACCTGGCGTCGTTTTGGCCTCGAGGTCTTTCGTCAGCTGCCGTAGCTCGACGCCGCCGGCCGTCACAAACTCGTCTTTGAACGTCGTCTTGCCCGTTGTCACCATCGTGCACGCGGCGACGTTGGCTGCGATCGTCGCCACCATTTCCTTGGAGACGTTGGCCCACGTCACATCGGCCTCGAGCGCCAAGCGGGCCCAAAGCCGCTGCGCCAACAGTGGTTTGTTGTCGTCATCCACAAACGGGCATGTGGACGCGACCTTGCGCGTCGGATGCCGCATGCGCTGGTCGGCCAAGAAGAGCCGCGCTTCGTGCGGCGAGAAGCGACCGCCTGTCCAGTCGACGCAGAAGGGCAGCTTGTAGTCGGCAGCGTGCATCGCCAGCGCGGCAAAGGCACTCTGACGCAAGATCGCAGGCCCGCTCAAGCCAAAGTGCGTAATGAGTGTCGGGCCATAGACCGGCGGCAGCTTCTTGAGCGTCGGGAGCGAGATCATGGTCTCGTCGACCGAGATGCCCGCGAGATCACGGATGCGCGTATCGTTGGACTTGAAGGTAAAGAGGGATGGGACGGGCGGCGCGACAGCGAGCTGCAATGGTGGCGCTTGGAGGAGTTCCCAGAACGGCACCGAAGAGCCGGTTGCAATGACAACGCAGCGTGCGTGGAGGTCGAGGATCGAGTCGTCGGCCTTGGCCCGCGCTGCCATCGTAAAGATTGCGTCATCACTATTATGCGAGAGCGAGACGACTTTGGTGCGTCGGTGGATCTCGACGTCGGCGGCTGCGTCCAACAAGACATTGACAATCGTCGCGCTCGAGTCCGTGGTCGGGAAGACGCGCCCGTCGGCTTCGGTCTTGAGCGCAACCCCATGCTTCTCGAACCACTGGTGCGACTCTTCGATGCCAAAGCGACTGAGGTTGCCGAGGAGATGCTTCCCGCCCCGCGGGTACTGCGCGGCGACGTCGCGCAGGTCGGCAAACTTGTGCCGGGCGTGCGTGACGTTGCAGCGGCCGCCGCCCGAGAGACGCACCTTCTTGAGAAGCTCTTTCTGCGCTTCCAAGAGGATCACACGCGCAGATGGCATCTGCTTGGTGATCGCTTGCGCGCAAAAGACGCCGGCGGGACCGCCACCGACAACGACCACGTCGACGACCTTGACCATCGAAATTGCACTCTAACCAACATGCGGCGATGCCATTGGCTAGAACGAACCAATCACATGGTCTCTTTTGACCAGGACACCACCTCTGCGAGATCCTTGTCGTCGGGGTGGTATGCATGGAATTCTCACCTTTGGCTAGCCGACGCTTGAATCGATTGCAGCTAGAATTTCGCCACCTCATTTAATGACTACTAGTATGCAGATATCTAGATGGTGGTTCAAACCTCGGTTTCGCAAGACATGTTAACCCTCCGCTGACGGCTCACCCGTTAAAAGTTAAGAGTTTAAACGGTTGTTTTCCACCTCTCAGACATCGTTGGATGCGTCACTCGTCATCAAGCTGACAGGCGTTGTGGTGATTTTGTTCTTGGGCACTGTCTGGTGCAACGCAGACTGCACCTTGATTCGTTGCGCGTTGAGATTTATCGACCATCGCGTACCACTCGTTCGCACGTGGCGCGCACGGCAAGAGGTCGTAGCCGGATGCAAACCATGTGATCAAAGACTCTTTGATCACACTCTTGCAGGCGGCCTGGCGTCAAGACGACGTGGATTGGGCTAAATGCATTCCTTGTATCCAATCAGATGGCCAAGAAATGCTAGAGCTATCCACCAATCATAGACCTATCCATATCCAAATCGCTTCGCGCGATTTCGGTAGGATGCAGAGCGATTTCGAGCACTATAACGACAGCATCGGACTCCCCGCTTCATTTCCTACTGGAATCCGCCGTAATCCCACCAACGAAAATTTTCTTGAAAATGGCGAGAGATCCCGGGCGCACGTGGCGAGGCATGCATTTTCACGTCTCAGCCGAGCAATGCATCATCTGGTTGGCTATATTGTGTTAAAATATAGTCAATCACGTACCGATATTGACGCGATCTTGCAGAGCGAGAATGGCATGGTCGTGGACGCGGCGATGATCGAGCGCCAACTCGCGCTGCCGAGCTTGCTTAGCATACCGCAAGGCGACAACACCATTGATCATGTAGTTCTTGCTCGACAAAGTGACACCTGTCCTTCATCACGTTAGCGTGGCGGGTGTAGCCACAACCACCTGCAAGGACGACCGATATCCGATACTGGTCGAGAACGCAGCCTTCTCTGCGCTCACGACGCGCGACACATAGACACTCATTTATTGGTTCGTCGCCTAGTTGCAGTGGTGTCGCCAACGGTTCCTGCTTGCTTGCTGGCGCCACGACGTTCGAAAATGACAATACTCTCCATCCGATCGAATGGCGCGGTGGCATATACAATTCACGCTGCTAATATACCGTGACAACCTGTTGATTTAATGTTGCAAGTGGCAGCGCTAGCAAGTGGGTTCATCAAAGAAAAAGCAGAGCAAGCCCAGGTTGACACATAGGAACCTCTTACAACACATAGTACGCATGTTTTATCAAGGGTATTGAATGTCAGAGACTCGATGTTGTCGGCAGATTTTGCAATCCAGAGTCTTCGTCAATTCCGATCATCGGCCCGACGACGACGATGCTACGCTCGACATGGTAGACAGCGTACGCTGCTTCCTTCGCCTCATGCATGCTGCGTAGCAAGGCCCTCTCTTCGCGTGTGCTGGCGCGCGCGCCGACGTCCTACCTCCAAAGGTACAGCGTCCGCGACCGGCGACATTGCCAATGTAAAGCGTAGCTCGATGGCGGCCGCTGCGCTCTTGACAGCGGGTACGGCCATGACGGCGCTTAGCGAAGAGGCGCCGACCGAGGCGCCCAAGAAGAAGTCCAAGACGCGCTGGCACACGCGCCAGAAGTACGAGGACGGCGACAAGCAAGCGCAGCTCATGAACGAGAGCTTGACGCGCTACAAGCAGGACCTCGCGGCTTTCGACAGCATCGAGACGCGCTTTGACGTATTCGCCAAGGCGGTCAACAAGGACAAGAAAAATAGCTGGCAAAAGGTCATGACTTTTACCGGTATGTACATGCTTACTTTTTTCGACGGGATCAAACCCAAGCCCACTAGACTTTGTGCACGCGTTGGTGCTACCGCGCTTCCGCACGGCCGAGCCGGTCTCTTCGACCTGCTGCGCTGCGACGTCTCACGCCTCGTTCTCCGTAGCCATCGACAGCGTCGTACGCCTGCGACTTTACGGGCGACGCCAACGGCCTCATCTCGTACGAGGAGTGCCACCTCCTCGTGCATTTGCTCCAGAGTACTACGTTTCTATCCATGTTGTGCATCCATATATCTCATTCGCGCTAGTTCCTGTCGAGCACTTTGATGTGGCCTTTCACATGTTTGACCTCGATGGCAACGGTACGTTATGGCATTTGCGTGTCCATATCTTGATTTGCTCGAATCTCACCTAGGGACGGTCGACAAGGCGGAGTTCCTTGAAGTGCTTTCGAGCGTCCTCAACAACATCAAGGACACGCGCACGGACGCGTCCAAGCCCAAAGAAGTCCACGGTAGTCAACGCGATCTATCTATGGTCAACGAAGTTCACGACGGACGATCGCTAGTCGAAGCGTCGTTCCGGCTGCTGCAGCATTTCTTCGGCAAGCATGGCAAGAAGAAGATCACAGCCAAAGAGTTTATCGCGGTCATCCAGTCGCTCAAGGAGCACCTCTTGCGCGCCGAGTTTGACTTGTATGCGACCGAGCGCAACGGCGTCAAGTCGATTTCTGTCCACGACTTTGCCGTCACGCTCATCTCGTGTCTCGACCCAAAGCACCTCCCGAGCCTCCTTCCGCGCCTCCAGCTCTTGGCCGCGAGCGATGTACTATCAACTTGATACAATGCAACCATCCGCTGATACCATTTGTTTATTTGTAGGAGCGCGTGAGCTGGCAAGAATTTGTGCTCTTCCACAGCGTGATCCAGAACCACCTTGAAGGCATCAAGCTCGCGTTCGAGCTGCGCCCGGAAGACGAAGTCAACGAAGGTAGCGTCACGGGTATGACGACGGCGCGTCATGGCAACGTGTAATAGAGGACTTTATCAAGGCTGCGTACATTGTCAGTGGCGTCCGCTTGCCCGAGCACATCATGGCTATGGTCTTCCGCGTCTTTGACGCCAACGGCAACGGCACGCTCGACGAAGATGAGCTCCTCAAGGTACATGCACGCATTTTCCCGCAGTCATCTCAACACAGGATGCAGATCCTTGCCACGCGGAACCAAGCGGCGCTGCACAAGACGGTGCCGCTGTCGCGCCCGGCCAAGTTTTGGGCGTGCCTCCACGACGCCTAGAAGTCTCTCGATGACGAACGAATGTGTGGTCAGCGCGTGATAGTGGCAGAGCTAATCCCAATGTTCGCCAGCGTACACTTGCTTGGATGGCGCAGAGAGGTGGCTAGCAGAGACAGGCGGCGCCATTCGCATGCCTATGGCCTTGACCTCGGTCGTGCCTGACCAGACCAAGAGCCCAGAAGCAGTTCTTAGTGCGCCTTATAGCCGGCGACTGCGTCGCATCCTGCATTGCAAAGGCTCACGTCGATCTTCCGGCAGTGGTTTTTATCCGGATGCTACCACCTGGTTTGGATCTGCAGGTTGCATTTCCGCAAAGATATCATCGGCCATCATGCAACGCGGCTTCTTCGAGGAGCTGCGCAAGCTGCGGTCGCTGGACCTGAGCAACCACTGCGTGACAGTCCAGGCTGTCAAGAGCCAAGTGCGGGCGCTGCAGCACCAGACGCTACTCTGTCGGCCGCGGCGCGCCGACGCCATCGATGTCGGGCTCTTTTTGCGCCAGTTTGTGGTAACACCCGAATGCGTCTTATTGGCCACCAAGAGCAACGTTGGATGCGTGTAGCCGCTCCTTCTCCGCCTCCTCGTCACGCGAAGGCAAGTGCAAACCGCGGTGCTGACGTGGGTCGTGAGCCTCAACCACATCTTTGGCAAGCAGCCGTTGCGCGACGTCTCGACAGCCATCGTTGCGGGCCTCCTCGCACAGCCGCATCCGATCCGCCGGTTGTTTTGCATGAAGACGCTCATCCACTCGACGCGCTTTGACTGCAGCGTCTTTGCGATCGCGGTCGAGGCAACGGTGACATCGCCCGAAACAAGCGCCGATCGTACGTGTCTCGACTTGCCCTTTGCGGAGATCACAGAACGCGGTTGTTAGTACGCGCCGAGTGCCATAGCTACGTCGCACAGATCCTCAAGCACTGGCCGCTCGAGGACAAAGCGCTTGCGCTCGAGATGGACGACCAAGATCGCCACGAGCTCGACACGGTACTGCTAACGCGCCTCCTTCGTGCACTGTCATGCTAGCCAGTTTGCGTACATCGCAGTCACCGAGAACAACATGAGCCGTTTTAACTTATCGAGATCGCGGTTTTTGCAGCGTCGTAATGACGTCCAAGATCGTCGCCACGAACGCGTCCGAGTTGAAGAGGAGACCGCTCACATGGCCGGCTGTGACGTGGCGAAACGTGGCGCGCGGCCAGCGCTGCATGAGAAGCTGCCATTGGTCGTCGTTGCGGCCAATGTACTGGTCTTCAGTGGCTTGTGAGAACACGACGGCATCTTCCCGGCGCGGTGCCGGAAAGTTCTCAATGTTGGTCAGCGCCAAGAAGGCGCTTAATCGTTGCTTGACGTGCGCGACTTCGTCCTACATGCATCGGATGCACACGTGCTGCTACGAGACGGCCAAGCGATGTACCGAGTAGGCAGTGGCGTAGTCGGACACGTGGCCCGAGAGCAAATGGTCGATCATCGCAAGCTCTTTTTGCTGTGAAAGCGACTGCCAATTGCAGGAGAGCGCAAGGAGACCACGCGTGAAGGCCGGGATCGCTGACGGCGGTGCGACCCACGATGCAGCGCCCACGTCGCCAGGGTACAAGGCGGCGGTCATGGCCGCGTGCAGCCCGCCCATACTGCCGCCTACCATAGACATATAGAGATACATGTATTGACTTGGTAGAGACGAGGTATGTCGTACCGGCAACGACGAGCTGCTCAAACTGAAAATGCGACTGAAAGTGGTGCAAGAGCGACTTGGCTTCTTCGATCGTCGTCAAGCCCAGAATCGGAAGGTCACTCACACTAGTTCGTCTACAATATCAACAAGAGCGAGAGAAATGGCGTCCTACTGCCGCAGTTTCGAGCCTTTCTGGTTGGGTGGGCGGCGCCGGCCGTAAAAGGCGCCTTCCAGCACCAGTGTGGCGACGCCGGCGCGGGCGAGCGGCTCCGCGACGCTGAGCCGGCGATGCGTGCACCCGTGCTCGCCCGTGCCTGGCAAGAGTACGACAAGCGGTCGCTTGCTCCCGTCTATGTGCAGTGGGCTTGTGCTTGCCGTTGCAGCCATCTCAGGTGGCAAAATCAGTTCAAAGTACGCCGTGTGGCACACCGGCGGCAGCAAGACGGCGTGGTCCCGCAGCGTGGTGCGAAACGAACCTTGCACAATCAATGGCGCCTGGCGGCGTAGGCGTCGCAGAGGCGTGAGCTGCAGGTCGACGATCGGTGCGACGGCAAACTTTTCGTCGGTCGCAAGCCGCTGCGAGAGCAGCGACGGCACGTGCAGGTCGCCCCAGCCGTCGCTGAAGAAGCCTTGCGGGAAGAGCAGCGGGTGGTGCGTGAGCTTGGCGGTCACGTGGTCCAGGACGCGGTGGTGCGTCGTTGTGACCTTGTCGAGCACCCGCGCCGGGCGGCGCAGTGTGCTCAGGAGCTGCCACGGGTGCCACATTGCCGCGTTTTGAAAATGGCGGCGACATCGTCAAGCATACTATTTAAAATGTTTAAAATAGTGTACGCCGGAACGACGCAGGGCTGTGGACGAGAGAATCCTAGGTACGTCCAGAAGGCGCCACATAAGGATCGACGTGATGCGCGCTTCGTGCGTATATGTCGCGAAGTTTAGTTTGCTAGGCGCTTGCATGGAGGATGCACGCGGGAGCTTCCCGCGCACGGTGAAGATCTTAAAATAGTGTGTATTTTTGTAACACTATTATTACCACCGTCATCAAGTCCTTTTTGTTGGCAATCATCATGGCCAAGCAGCGGCGCCGGAAGCGAGGCCGGGCACCCGGGCCGAGCTTGATGCCGACAGAGAGCCCCGTCGATAACTGCGGACCCTGTACCGCTAGAAGCCCATCGGTCGAGGGTTCGACGACGATCGGCGACAACTTTCTGAAGCGCTGTGCCCAAGGCGACCCGTGTCTCTTGCCGCTTGGCGCCGCCGCCGCCTCGCTCGAGGCGCTGCGCGACCGCGATGGCAACAACGGTCTCCTGCTTGCGGCCTTCCACGGGCACCTTTCTCTTCTCCAAGGTCTGCACGCCAGCGGCTTCAACTTGCACGTGATCAACGACGGCGGCGACAATGCGCTGCACCTTGCAGCGTTCCAAGGCCACCACGACGTCGTCGCCTGGCTGGAGCAGCATGGCGTCGAGATCTCGGTCGACGACGCTGTCGTGGAAGGCGACCTCGACGGCTGGGGCCGCGCTGCGACCTCCTCCATGTACTTGGACCTTGTCCGGGCGGGTGACGTCGCGAGCCTCGACGCGCTCGTCACCAATGTCGGCGCCCACAGCTTTCCGTGGACCGCTCGCGACGATTGTCACATGAGCGCTGTCGGTATTGCAACCGAAGCCAACCAGATCGCCATGCTCTCGTACTTGGTCACCACCGGCGGGCTCAACCTCGACGACGCTGTCAACAACCGCCGCGACACGTGCCTCCACATTGCAGCGATGCATGGTCATCTTCATCTCCTTCGCTTCGCCATACCACAGGCAAACATGGAAGCAGTGAACGCCCAGCGATGGACGCCCATGGACACGGCGTGCTTTTTCGGCCAGGTACAGTGTCCTGTTTGAACCAGTTCGACGCTTCTACGTCCTGTAGGCCTCAATCGTCGACTACTTCTTGGCGCACGCCGGCGTCGTTTTGTCGGTAGCGCACCTCGCCCTCGCGCTCGAAGGCGGCGCCGCGTCGCTGCTTATGCTGAACGATCTTCTGCAGAAGGCACCGCATCTGGTGCAGGCGCGGCATGGCCAATCGCAGGAGACGCTGCTGCACATTGCAGTGTCGCTGCGCCAGCGCGAGGCCTGTCAACTGTTGCTGCAAAAAGGCGCGGACGTCGGCGCTCTCGATGGCAGTGGCTGGACGCCGTGGCACGTGGTCCTCCATACGCAGTGGGCGGCGGGCGTCGACCTCTTGCTATCGCCGAGCCGATCGACCATAGCGTCTTGGCTTCCATTTGCAATGCAGCACGCGTCGACGCCGATGCTGCTCGAGATGTACGACCGCCTTGGATCACCTCAAGCGCTCTACCAAGCGGCCGTCGACAGTCTGCGCAACGAAGTGGTCTTGGCCATCGACGCTCGCCATGAAGCAAAGGCCAATGCGATGCTGTCGCAGCTCGTCGAGTGCGCGGTGACGCCTTCGACGCGCTCGACCGCGTCACTACCAAGTGCAGTATCGACGCCGCTCGTCAGCCAATCGACGGACCAATGGGCGACCGAGACGACTGCAGACGACGATGACAGTACCATGACACTAGCACCAGACGCCTCGCCGCTGCAGGTGCACGAGATGCTGGCCATTGGTCTGGCGCGAGGTCACCACGACGAGTGGGGCGATGTCCTCGTTCAGATGCTCTCGCCGCGCGAAGCGGCGGCCGTCCGACGCTTCCACCAGCAACTGCTGCGCCTCCGCGGCCGCTCGACATCGCTTCTCCGGTATCTCGGGTGTGTCGACGGCGCAACGAACGACGCCGACACGGCCCTGCTCTTCGAGGCGCCCGAGAGATCCACGCAACCAGCGATGGACGGTCGGTCGTTTCTTGGGGTTGTCGACGCGGTCGGCTTCTTGCACGGGCATGGCCAAGCCCACGGCGCCATCACACCTGATTGCATCATTCTCGAGGCTGAGGCTTCCTCCAAGCTGTACGTTGCGCCGGTTAGTGCGCTTCCGGCGGCTGTGTGCCCGCCGCCCGAGCTCCACGAGCACGCCGACATTGATGTCTTTGCGGCTGACATCTTTAGCCTTGGCCAGGCACTCGCTGCGCTGGCACCGACACCGCTGAGCACCGAGTGTGTCGACCTCTTCGATGCCATGACCGCGCTCGACCCAAGCGCTCGCCCCCGAATCAACGAGGTCCGGGCCCACCCATGGTTTTGGTCGATCGACGCCAAGCTCGCTTATATGGAACGGGTCGCAAACCAAGTGCCGTTGAGTGCGTTTCCGCCAGGTGTCTACCGATGGCAGGCGCGGGTGCCACCGGCGGCGGCCAGTACCCTTGGGAGCCACCGAGTGTACAGCGAATCGCTGCCCGACCTTGTCCGCTGGGTGCGCAACATGAAGCAACACAGCCGTGAGCACGCACCCGCTGTCTGGACCGCGCTCAGTCAAGGCCGCGTGTATGAATTGGCGACGCACCACGGCCAGATGCACTGCCTCGGCAACTTTGTCACCCGGGCCTTTCCAGATCTGGTGTGTCGACTCTGCCGCACGCTGGGCGAGATCTAGTAAAACTCGTGACCTTATTTACGCTGTGCCTTGTGTTTTTGAGCGTATGCTTGGACCTCGTCCGTGCACCACCACGTCCAGAACTCGCCAAACGAGATTTTCTGGTTGGCCGACGTGTCGAGCTAGTTGGACGGTGATCAGCAGTCATAGATGGACACTATTGTCCTAGGGACACTTATAGTGTCGTACCTGGGCAAATGCTTCCTTGACTTCGTCCGGCGACAGCGCGGGGAACGTTCCGAGCTCGACCGAAAGCGCCGCAAACTCGGCCGTGTCGATTTCGCCCGAGTGGTCCCGATCAAACGTGGCAAAGGCCTTGAGCAGCGCGTCGCGTTCGTGGTTCTCCGTCTACACGTCGTCGCGGGTTCGATTCCCGTTGTCGACAAAGGGGTACCGTGCGCTCGACGAGCTGCTGCGCATAAGCGTTGACATCGCGCTCGTGGCGTAGCTTTTCGAGTTTCTTGAGGAGCTCGCTGGCCGCGGACGCATCTCCCAGAGCTTCGAAACACTGGCACGACGTTGTCCACGCCTCCTCGGCGCGGGTAAAGTCCTACACCACGTGCACACACAGCCAACATCGGCCAAGGTACCGCGGCGTGGAAATAGATGGCGCCCCGCTCGTGTAGCGCGTTGCCATGCCCTCGTTTGCATTCGTCTGGCCGCACCACCCGAATGTCCTAGTCCATGCCGCTCAGACTCCTTTTTTAGAGAATATACACAAAATGCTACGTCGTAGACGCCGTCGGCGGTCGTGAGAAGCACGTCAACTTCGGCCATGGCAGCCACCCGCTTGGCAGCTAGGAGACAAGTCGGATGACACTTGGGATTCACACGGATGCTTACGGTCGGCGGCAAAGGCAGAGAGAAGTCGCTTCACGGATGCCAGGGCCACGATGCAGCCTACCTATTATGACTCAATGGCGCCATCATTGCAGAGCGTACTGGCTTCGTGCAGCCGGGCATCGTCAATCGCTACATCGCGGTAGTGGGGGCTGATCCGTGCGAGCTTTTGAAGCTGCTACAACCACGTGTTCGATGCAGCGAAGCCAGCAGACGGTTAAAAATGGCGCGCACCTGGCTCTTCTCAATCGCAGTGTGCAGCGACCGACTCGCCTCTTCGAGCTGCTGGCGCTCCAAGGTGCTGCTCATGACGTCCCTTCAAGCTCGCTCGATATCGGCACCGTTACAAACACATAGAAAAGCCGCATCTAACGCGATGGTGAGTGCAAAGTTGTTGAGCGTGTAGAGACTAGATACTAAAATGACTTGTGTAGCCTTATAGTTCTCTCTTTTATTCCAACGAGCAACACCCTCGCAAGCGTGAAGTCGCCAGCGCGTCGATACTCTAGCGAGGTTCCGTGACGCCAACCAATCAGCATCTACCAGTACACTACGGGATGGCTTGGACGCTGGGTATCAACAGTGTCAACTTGGAAGCCCGAGCTGTGAGACCGACAATAACTACATACGTCGACCATTTTTAGTGTTTCGTGGATTTTTCACGGAGGGTTAGGTTGGGGTTAGGGTACAATAGCCATTATTCCCTAACGTTTTTGGACGATCCAGAGCACGCCGCATTGGTTTACTACGGCGCTTCTATCGCAAACACGTGGTTACGTTTCATGTAGCGCGCCATCTTTTATTTATTGCAGCGTTCCCAGACGTTCGGCCCGCGCCTGGTTTGCCCACACGTGTGCTTGGGCCGTCGAGATCCGCGGCGGGATCCCAACAAAGGCCCAAATGATGTCGACAACGGGCTCGGGCAACGGTAGTTGTGGCAACGCTTCGTACGGCGGCGGCACAAACTCGGTCGACAAGAGCCTCTTGCGCGCCTCTTTTTGCACGAGGTACACGCGAAGGAGCCGTAGGGCACCGCTGGACGCAGACTTTTCGAGCTCAAACGGCGAGAGACAGTAGTCGACACAGGTCGGGATCGTCACGAGTCGCCCGACGTGCAGCGTCACAAAACCTGTTTCTTGGTACCCAAACCAGTGGCGCTCGTGCCACGGGACCTAAATGTGGCAAATCAACGCTCGTTCGAGCCTGCGAGCAGGTTTCATACCTCTGTGGTCGGGTTCGACGGGTCGGGCACCCACGCCCGCTGCGTAAACGATTGCCGAAATCGAAGCTTTGGAAGCGCTTTGACGTGGTCGGCGGCGTAGACCACAAGGCCGGTCGCGACGATACCGTCGCTAGTGCACCCCGAGCCGTTGGCTTGCCATGAGAGACCATGATGCGTCGGCGATGTCGACGACACGACGAGCGCTTGCGCTTGCACGACCACCTGCAGCGTCGACGCCGTCTCGAGTTGGGCACTTTGCAGCGTGAAAAAGTCACGTGGCAGCGTCGGTGGCAAAACCGGTGTCGGCGCCGACACTGGAATGCGAATCTGCGGAATGTGGTCCGTGTCGTTGGCTGTCATCGAGAGCTGCCAGAGCGGCCGCAGCTCTTGAATCAGCTGGTGGAGCGCTGCAAGAAGGCGCGTGTGCCGACTCGGAATGTTGTTGAAGTACGCGCGGTGCGTGACACGGCCAGCGTCGACATCGATCGTGGTCGGGAGCCACTGGAAGCGTGACGACGTTCCATTCGCAATGTACTTTGGGACGCAAAGGCGGCCACAATGCGGCTCGCGATCAAAGCGCGTCAGTCCGTGCACAATGCAGTGCAAGTTCGGGTCGATGATCTCACGGATACCATTTCCCGCGCTTCTTGGCTCGAGCGGCTCCAAAAACCGAGCCAGCGTTGGTGCGAGGGACGTCGTGGTGTGGTACACGCCAAATGCCGTATTGGGCACGTGCCCAGCAACGAGGCAGGCAGCGCGGCGCAGCTCAACTTCGAAGCGAAGGAGGCGCTGGCCGTCGATCGAGACGCGTCGTTGGGCGGCTCGAATGTCGGCGGTAGCCAGACGCCGAGGCCACGACGGCGCGTCCAAGAGGAAGCAGAGCGCGTGCATGTAAGCAAGCTCTGACGCAGCGTAGGCAACCGTCTTGGGCGACCCCAGCACCGTGTTGGCCGTCGGTTGCCAGAAGAAGACCGACGTCGGTACAAGATGCGTCGCATGGAGGATCGACTCGGCGAGGTACGCGATGATATCCTGTCGATGACGCGCAGGACTCGCCAGTGCCAGCGCCAAGAGCGACTGCCCGTTCTAGTACAAACATCGGATAAGATTTGGAAGCTGCCGTTCGTGGGCTACGTGGCGGTAGCGGGCAGCGTCTTTTGTGATGGGAGCCAAGATGCGAACACTCTCGAGCGCGCCCGAGACAATAGCACAGTGCAGAGCGCTTCGTCCTCGCTAGTAGTACACGCCAATATGAAACTTTGCACTGACCCGGCGCACGATCACCGTGTCGAGGAGGTTGGGGTTGCAGCCCGCAGCCACGAGCGACGTCACCATGCGAGCATCGTCGACCGCTATGTGGAGATAGTCCCACTACGAACGATGCCAAGTCGGTCCTATCGGATAGCTATCACCTTGCTAACGTCCGTGAGCGGCGCGAGCACTGCGACAGCATCCGGCATGTCGTGGCGGATCGCCGTCATGAGCGGGTCCCCCGACGCCTGCATCCGAGCTTGAGCTGCGCCAATGACATCACATTACGTACGAGATGACGACATAGCGTCGCGCGATCGCCATGGCCTGCTTTGCTTGTGAATGCATCGCGCTCCTCCTAGCCCAGACAATTATGTCCATGGATACGAAACTAAGAGAAAACGTACGGCCCAGTCGATGGTGGCTGCAATGTACATGGCGCCGTCGAGCCGTCGATACGACAAGAACTCGCAGAGAACCGCGAGGCTCGATGTGAGACCGGCGTCGATATAGAGTTGGGCGATCGGACCGCCATGGGGGCTAAAGGACACAGTCGTCGCGAGACCCTAGTCCCCATCACGTAGACTTAATTACCCAGGAAGACACATTGTACAACATTACCGCCGCAACGGTGTCGGGATTCGGGTGCTGCGCCAGGAGCAAGCGGAGGAGGTCGAAATTCGGTGTCTCACTGAGTGCAATAGCACAGAGGGGCGTGCACTTGGCCTACATACTGTCCTGTTGGCAACAAATCATCGACAGCAGTGTCCAAACCCAGCTGATGATGTCGACGCGCACGCCGACAGCGAGCAGTGCTGATGCAATTTCCATGTGCCCATGGTGGGCTGCCAACCACAGCGGCGACCGCCGGCTCTACGTAGCAATGCAAAAATGAAAGAGGCGGGTAGAAGTAGTACGTACGCCATCCAGCGCCCGCGGGTTCACGTCGTGGCGAAGCAGTGCATCGACGCAGTAGAGATGGCCGTGCGTGACGGCGAGTCCCAAAGGCGTATGCCCACTCTAATAAGAATTGTCGAAGCATAAGAGACCAACATCGCCACTGGCAATACGGCTACGAACCTTATTCCGTCGGCTCGTGTCGGCGATGCGTGGCACGAGGAAGTCGACGACTTGGACGTGGCCGGCGGCAGCAGCCAGGTGGAGCGCGCCGCTCCCGTCCTATGCAACACGGGTAGAGGCGACGTATCGGAGGATGCTTGTCGTACGTCGTCCATGGCTGCATCGACATCGACGTCGTCCAGTAGCATAGCTACGGTGGCTAAGGAGCCGTCGGCGGCGCCAGCAAGAAAGGCGTTGGCTGTCTGCTCGAGGTTGGAGGAAAACCCAAGGGCTGGCATCGCTGTTACCGCGTCGTCGTCGTTGTGCATTGGTTGTTGCTGCTGAATTGTTGTCGGCACTCGCACTTCGACTGCATCGGCACGTTCTTCGACTCAACGTCGCGCCTCCCACTCTCCAGTGGGTAAAAACATATGCCTATTTCAAGCTTTTCTTGGAGCCATCTTAGTGTCTTGAGTGTGAGCTCTACGATGAGACGGTGCCAAGGGCCTCAAGGCGAGAGGCCCGTCGCTACGAAAAGGCCACGTACGCGCTCCAAAGCTCTAACGATAGCGCTGATCTCGACGGTAAAACCTGCACAGGCTGGTACACTGTACCGGTACGCACCACGGCACGACCGGAATGGCATCTACACTGCCGCTACCACAACACTGCGAAGTCGTCTAGTCTGGCGTGAATCTGGTACAGCGGCCGTGACCAGATACTGGCATCGCGCCGCGTCGATGCGCGCTGGATTCGGCGCTCGCCGGACGCAACGCATCTCGACACCAAGATCGCCTGGCGCCAACGCCATCTCGCGTCGGATTGGCTACCGCGTAGCCAATGAGACCGTTGGGTTTCAATGGAAGAGAAAAAAACAGTGGGTCCTCGTATACAAACAGCAAGGTAAGCATGTGTATTTTATTGGTTCTAAACTCGGCCTTTGGGAGTTGCCAGGCCACCCAGACAAGCCAAGAGGACGAGGGATGGCAGCGAAGGAGTTCAGCCTCGTCGCGCCGGAGCGAGCGCTCGACGTCGAGGAAGAGTGGAGCCAGGAGCGGTTGCCGCTGCATGTCAAGTCCGCCATGCGACGCCGAAGCGAAGGCTCATGCTGCGTGCTAGGAACGTCGTCGGGACCATTGACGTCCAAGTCCCGCTCGACCTTACGACGATTGCGCTCAATGCGCGCAACACCGAGTACAATCCGCGGGTATGTCCTGGCCAACGCAATGGCGCTCAGCGCCTGCATGTAGAGGTTCGCCGCAGTCATCATGCGGTTACGAGACCCAAAGACAACCGCGCTCATCTTTGCGTCCGGCAAAGTACTCATGCATGCCTGTCGACCTCGTCCGTTCGACGCTGAGCATGTATGTTGTAGATTGTCATCACGGGCGCCAACACAGAGAAGAACTGCCGCATTGCCGCGCGCAAGTACTGCAAAGTGCTACAGGTCCATCTCCATCTGCCAGGCATGGGACGTCGACCTTTGCATTAGAAACTCAACTTTCCAGCGAAATTTGAAATGTTCAAGATCTGCAACATGATGGGCACGAGCGACGTGCGCTTCCCGATCCGCCTCGAGGGCTTGCTCAGCGACCACTCGCGCTTCTGCACCGTACGACCCTTTGAGCTCCGACGGCGCGTCTCATAAGTAGCTCGCGCGATCTAGTACGAACCCGAGCTCTTCCCCGGCCTCATCTTCAAGCTCGTCGAGCCCAAGCTGACGTTTTTAATATTCGTGTCGGGCAAGCTCGTCATCTGCGGCGCCAAGGTACGGACGACGCATGGAAGGACGCAGTCCCAAGGCGAGCATGTAGGAGACGAACGACATGCGATTAGCACTGGAGAAGATGCATCCACTGCTACTCGAGTACCGGAAAATGGCGCCGGCGCCGTCGCTAGAGAGCCTCGATTTCGAGGAAGACGCCGATATCGACCAGCACAAAATATAATGACGTGTGCAGTCCGTGTCCAATATTGTCCAATATTGTCCAATATTGTCTTGTGACGTCCATACTCTAGAACTGCAGACAGAGCCAAGTCCAAGCCGAATGAAAAAGGAAATTTGTGCTAGCAACGGTTTCGTAATTCGTGCCACATAAAATAAACAATTAATGTCGACTTGTTCTTTGTATGCAAGTAGTCGCAAATGAATTTAATGACGTCAACGTAACGCCTGCTCGACGGGCGAGAACTCGATCGTTATCACGACCATGGCACGACCGCGCCTCGAGAGCAACACGACCGCCAAGCCCGACGACGACCGCGCCCGCCATACGAGCCTGCCGCTGCTCGGCCTCCAATCCTTCCTCAAGCCCATGGAAGACGCCAAGCGAGCACGCATGGACGCATCCGTCGTCGGCTCATCGTCCTCGTCTCTCGTAGAGCTTGACGCCCGCCAAGGTGTCTCCGATCGCAGCACATGACGAGGCGCCGCTCGACTCGTGCAGCGGCCTCAAGGACCAGTTCCTGCGCCTCAAGCAGATCTTCCAGAAGACGACACCCGAGACGAGTACCGAGGCCAAGACCGCCGATGCGGCCAAAGGCCTGCGCCGCCTGAGCTTGGACAACAGCGTGTGGATCGACCCACGCACGCTCCTGGATCCGTACTGCAATCGAGAGATCGACATGAAGCCGTCCGAGCTCATGCGCGAACTCGAGAAGCTCAACAGCGCGGCCCAGGCACGTCTTCCTCTTCGTACCTCTTCACCATATACATTCTGGCAACGTAGAAGCTGTTCGTACACGACCCGTGGTCCAACGGCGCCGAGCGCTGGGTCCTCGACGACGCCTGCTTGCGCGGGTACATGACGTGCTGGACCATCGAGACGGGCGGTGAGCTCGTAGTGCTCATCGCCCGCACTATCAAAGCGTACGTGATGCTTTCTTCGGACTCTCGTGCCAGGGCGACTATGTGTAGGTTGAACGCCAACATCAACCCCGACATTGCACTCCAGTGGATCGGGCGACAGCTCTGGGGCCTCACCATCACACTACCGCTCGCTCGGAATCGAGAGCTCACGATGCAGCATGTATAGCGCCTGATTCCGTCAAAAGTCTAAGGGTGGCGTAGATCACCGTCGCAGCGAGTATCGACGTGGCGCTGGCCAAGATGGTCAAGGTCGTATCGCCCGAGCCCAACAATGCCAACCTCCCGTACGATCGCGTCCGAGATCTGCAGCGTGTGACGATGCGTAGGCCACCCACGTCACCCCGAAAAGCGCCGCATGAAGCGCCGGAAACGGCGTTGGCCGAGGTGTCGTTGGGACCGAGCCACATGCGAAGTCTCTCGAATGACACAACGACACCGACGCGGGCGGTGGGGCACAGCCGAAGTTTGTCGAGCGATGCGACGAGCCAGCACCTCCGAAGCCTCTCGGGGGACCTTCGAGCAGAAGTCCACGACATTGGTCGGCTCCTCGCGCCGCCGCGGTCCCCGACATCGTCATCGAGCTCGTCGACAACGAAAACGTGGCATGCGCTCACGACGCCCGGCCCCGCGCTGTTGGACGACGACCCATTTGCCCGCTGCGTACCTTGCGCACCATGTATATGTGTACCAAGAAGACTGATCCTGGCAATGTAGGCACCAGAGAAAACCGGGTGGCTCAAGAAACGCAGCACTGGCTTGAACTCGTGGCAGCTGCGCTGGTTTGAACTCAAGGGCAATCGACTCTACTACTTCAAGCACGAAAAAGTACCTCCTTTCCGAGCCAAAATGGGCTAACATGGCTGTAGGATGGACTCCCCAAAGGCGCCATCGTACTCGACAAGGTCTACTGTATTCGCGGTGCGGCCGGGGACCCGTCGCCAAGCCTCACGATCTCTCCGTCGGGCGCCAACTCGATTTGCATGTTCAAATTCAGCGACCGACTCGTGCACCACGTCTTCAGGTGCGTGCGTCGACGCGAGCGCATCACGATTTAGTGTGGGATTAGTCGCCGATCCTGTACGCTGCGTGTGCCCGACGACGACGAGATCGAGCTCAACGCGTGGATCAACGCCATCTGCCGTGCGTCGTTCCAGTGCTACCTCAATGTCCCTACGGCCGACGCCAACGGTATGTCTTTGATGCCATTTGTATCACTGTTTCAATGTATCGACTAGTCGACGAGAACGAGTTGTACAAGTACAGTAGTTTCCAGTATTTGCGCGAGACGGACCCACTCTTATGGGAAATCAACCCCCTCGACCAAAGCGCGATCAAGAAAAAAGCGTCCGTCGCCCGCACCAAGACTGAGTACACGTACATCATGTCCAAGTACGCGCACGTCCTTCGCCACATTCTCTTGCCGCGGTGCGCACGTTTGGCCCTTGATACTTTGATATAGAAATACAGTGATGTAGAGCACGCCCCATCAGCATTGAGCAAACGCTGCGCGACATCATTCCGGAGCTGTTTCTCATCAACAACATTTTGTACGGGGGTGAAACCGAGAGCATTGACGACATCTTTCACGTCCTTGAAGGCTACGTCAAGCGCTTTGCGTCGACCCACGACGCGTGCGTCACTGCGGTGAGCGCGGTCCTTCAAGCCTGTGCGCGCACGATTGCCGGTGGCGACTCGTTCCTGGTGATCCGGACGCTCCTTGGCCATGGCGCTGGCGATACGCTCATTCGCCCGGCCGACTCGCACGGCGCGCCCATCGTGATTGACATTTCGAGTGCGACGCCGTCTCTCTTTACGATCACGCTCTCGAGCGTCTTTGTGTTTCATTTGCTCGACGACGTCGAGAAGATGACGGAAGACGACTCGATCGAACCGCTCTTGCGCGTGCAAACGCTCCACGTCCAAGAGATGGACCTCCTTCTCGGCAAGTCGACGCGGCACCTCAAGATACGGCAGCTCGCGGCCGACGACGAGCGAATAGGAGGCGACCTCGCGAGTGGCAGCAGTCGCAGCACCACGTACGACTATGGCGCGCTCCTCGACGGTCTCGCGTAGGTAAAATACCCTCAAGTTAGAAGACGATCCTAGTCGCTGTCGTTCAAAATGGTGGACTACATTGGTCAACACGAATGGCTAAGAGGGTGACGGGCATGTCAGACGCCAGCTCTATGCTTCGTCCCAAGACAAGAAAGCGACGGGTGAGGGTGTGCAGTAGCGGTCGAGTGACCATGTGCTACCGAGAACGATCGCGTGGAGCCCATTGTGATGGCCGGATGCACACGCCAGAGGCTCGACGCTCGATGTTGAGGCAAGGGATAGAAGTCAATTCAATGATTCCCTTGAACGATTGTTTTATTTTAGTCAACGTGGTTCGCCCAACGTCTTCGTCCGTAGAGTCCGTGCACATGCTGATGCTGTTGCAAAGTACTTTATGTCGTTTGTTGGGCCAGAGTGCTATTCTACTCGACGATTCTTGTTGTTGAATTGAGTCCTTTTAGTTAGTCCATTAATTTCTTGCATTTTACTAGACTCTCATTTCTCACGAGCAATCATGAGATAGTTACTCGTATTTTGTCAATCTCACGCCACCCACGGTGAGTCTTTGGCGCCTTTTGTGACCGACACCATCGCACCAGGTGCCCCCGTTCGGTGCACGACGAGTGTGCCGACGGCATATCGAAAGTTCCGAGGTGTCTTGGAGAGCGACCGCTTCCTGCCGCCATCATGGTGCTTGGCTGTCTTGCGCACATAGAGCGGGGCATCCATTTGGGATACGAGGCTCACGCGTGTGACTTCGACAAGCTTGTTGGTGCGGGTGTAGCCCAAGACGTAGCAGTCGCCACCGCGCTGGTCCATCGTGCCATGGCGTCGATACTCGGGGTAGGCTTCAAACAGCCGATACATGGAGCCGCCGTGCATCACATCTGTACGCAACATCTCATTTTCACAGCCGACTGTGTCGTTATAAGGTACCTTGGATGTTGGAGCCGAGGCGATAGAACCAGAGGAGACTCTTGTGTTTGAAATCGTTGTAGGCAAACGCACCCTCGTTCATGTCTGCGCCATCCTACGCGCACAAAAGTGACGCAAAACCGTCGCAATTTCGACAACGACGCAAATATCGAGACGTACGTGGGCGTGGAAGCGGTACCAGCGCGTCGCGTCGCGGCCATTCGACACTTGTCGCACATTGCGCACCGCGCGCTTGGCCGCGCGCGCCGCGATGCCAGGCACACCGAGCAGCACGGGCAGCGTACACAGCGAAAGCGAAAACCCAAGAAAGGCTGCAATCGCCTCGACGAACTCGTCGCCGGGCGGCGCCGGCGTAATCATCATAGAAAAGAGCGCAATGTACACAGAGAGCATTGGGTACCACGCGAGCTGGAGGTGCGTGAAGAAGCCGCTGTAGGCGTACGCAGCGATCGCCAATAAGGTCGGGTTGGCAGGTTTGAGCCAATGGCTTTTCCGGGCCCGTCGCAAGAGCGGGTTCAAGAGCACGAGCGTGCTGTACGAGAGCCAGACGCTGCGACTAAAGTACATGGATCCGAGAGCAAAGTAGTAGGCACTTTCAAACTGCTCGACGCGCATGGCGGCTTGGCCCGATAATTCGGGACTCATCCAAAAATCGAGCACAAACAAAAAGCAAATTTTCGGGTGCGAGAGCACGATGCAGGTTGCATCGCCCACGAGAATTTCGTAGCGCACGACGTTCTTGCGCTCGCTCATGACGTACGACATGAGCGCCTTGCGGAGGTGGACGACGTGCGTATAGTACTCGGCGTAGCACACATAGCCAATGTAGACGCTCAGAAAGAGGCGGCAAAAGAGCTTGAGGAGACGCCAGCTCGTCGTGTAGTCGCTCGACGCGTACAGCGAGTAGATAGTAAAGCTATCGACTTGGTCACTCTTCTTGGGTGGTGGAAGAAGGTCGTTGCCGGGTACGGTCCAGAGCACCGACAAGGCGTGAGGTGTCGACAGCATCGTGTGCTTCCACACCTTGGCATACGCCGTGGAGGCGGTTGCGTTAAAGCCACAGAGCACATGAGAGATGTCGGTCACATGCGCCAACGGGAAATACAAAGCGCCCGCTACGCTGGTGATAATTGCGTGCGCGCAGTCCGCCTGGACGGAGCGGTTGAGCGGAAAGGCATGTCGCGCCACGTCGGTGCCCGTCGCAGCGTCGTAGACGTATGTAGCCCCGAGCGGTAGAGTGGATACCGAGAAGCGAGTGCGAAAGTACTCCATGTGCTCGGTTTGGTTGATGGTCTCGGCGGCTTCGACCGTGAGGAGCCGGTGGGTCGCCCCCCGAAACGGAGTGGCCTCGCTCAGGTACGGCTTGAACGGCATGAGGAGCAGGTTGAGGCCAAAGAGCGCCGAGACAACGAGCGACTTGCGGTTCATGCGGACGCGGGAGGGATCGACGATCGGTAAAATGTCATCGAGCGAAGGCCCGGCGTACGCGGGTATATCGTCGAGCGAGGGGTCGACACGCATTGGTCGCGACAATCTAGGCAATGGCGCGTAGATGAGCAGTGTCTCGGGATGCTAATGTATTTATACCTCAGATACGAGGAAAGGACGGTAAGCTATTTTGGCTTCGAATGCACGTGACTGGGCGTTATCGGAGGCTGAGCGTTGCTGCAAGGGTGCCCATGTACGTCATTTCTTGTCTTCATCTCGTCATCCACTCAAGCAGCTGGACGCCACCGAGAGACGGCTTAGCGCCAAGCGGAAGCGGCCAAGCTAAATGTCCTCGGCATCGCAGTGTCCAAGAGTTCGGAAATGCGTTGGAAGACTGTAGTAGCTCCGCGATCCAACCGTTGCATTCTTAAAGACTAGCTGTAGTAACCAGGAATTATCTTTGTGGCATATTGTAGGATAGTATAGTAGGCAGCAGCGGCAGCCAACGCTCAGCGCATGGGTTGAGTCGATGTGAGCTGTTGTTAACTTGGAAGTTGAGCTGGAGTTGCGTGCAATTGGTTTTGCCGCGAGTAAAAAACGTGCCATTGGCACGACGTTAAAACCGCGAATCGACGTTAAAGCATACGATTGGTGCAACGAGGCAGGTCCAACCCCACGAGCGATTGCACTTGACTGAAGACCATGCAACGCAGCCAAGCCGTGAGCTTCTACCGCGCCATCTACCGCGTACGTCGCCGCCCTCTGTAGTCGCCACTGAAGGTTGCGTGTATGTAGACAGCCGGGCTCATGCCATCCAAGGACCGGACGCGCTTTGTGCGCCGGCGGCTGCGCGCCGAGTATGAAAAGTACCGCCACGAGGCCAACCCCGAGCGCATCGAGTACGCGCCTCCTATGTGAGAATCTTATTGCTATATAAATACGACGTAGCTTTTTGCTCCAGGTCGCCGACACGCAGGTAGCATCTCCTTGTGCACCCTTCTTTTGCTCATCGACAACGAGCAGCTCGACACGCTTCGTGTGCAAGTCGACCACTACAACCAAGTCTTTTCCGACCCGAGCTACCACCAAGTCTAGCGCATATACACTGAAATGGAGCACCACGAGCCACAAATCGATATGTGCATGAGCTGCAGTCGCTGGAGGGCCTTGGGCTACCTACTCTTCGTCATGTGCTCTTGGCTGCCAAAACGGTGGCAGACTCGTTTGCAACGCAAAAACCACCGCCTAGTTGCTGGCAGAGACAAGCCGCAAGGGTCGTCGCTTCCCAGAACAGAGCATACCGATAGTCCTTTGGTGCTGCTGGTCTGTGTTTGAGTCTGGGAACTTTGTTTGTTAGTTTGCGTGCGTTTAGCTGCCCACCGAAACGACGAGCAAGCGTCCAGAGCAATTGTCGAGAGCTGATCGGCGAGCCACAACGGCCGATCAGACGATGCACGCAAACTTCTTCTGCCAGAGTTTCGCAGATCTGCATGCGGAGCGTAGTCGGACGCTCATGCAGTTATTAGCGCGCCCGTTGCGCGGTTAGTTGCTAGTACTAGCACGCAGAACGTCCTAATAGTAGTATAGGACCGCTGGCACTGGGCGCCAAGTGAGTGTCGGTAGCAGCGTTAGCCACGGGCAGGATCGTACGCAGCGTGGCATTTTACCCAATCATAGGCAGCGGTGCACAACCCGACGTCCATTTTGGCCAATGAGACGCGATGTCAACAACCGAGCGATGCATTTTTATTCTGGCATCCAATATAATTTCTGCCATTTTGCCTCAACGCCGCAAGCAAGATGACCGGCGTCCGCCTCCAGCTGCTCAAGGTCGTCGACGGTGCGCTTAGCCGCCTCGAGCTCAACGAAGAGGCCATCGAGTACCTCCGTGACAAGTACGACCCGCTCACGGTCTTTGCCTTCCTCGGCCCACAGGTACGACAAAGCCAGGCGTCGGCACAATGACGACAAGAACGACGCGCGTAGGGCAGCGGCAAGTCGGCCTTTGTGCAAGAGCTCATCCGTGCCGGGCAGCCCGAGGGCCACGCTGCCGAATCCATGGAACCAACGCCCGAGGACACGTGCGTACGATCCCATTGCATCCCATCTTAACGGTATACGTAGCGGCGTGTGGATGTACATTGAAGAGACTGCGTACGAGCACGCCAAGCACGTGGCCTACTTGGACGTCTACGGCTACGGCGTCAACAAGGTACGATGCCACCTCTTGCCATGCTCTTGGGCTTAGGATGCGTCATATTCGTAGCACATTGATGCGCAGCTCTTTGGCCTCACGGCGCTCCTCAGCAGGTTTGTCGGTTTGCAACTAGATGCACAATGCTTGACGCCCCACTCTTGTCTAGCACCGTGTTTCACGTATCGCTGGGCGCTATCAACGAAAGCGTCTTTGGGCAGCTCGGGTTTCTCGAAGGCGCGGTTGAGGTCCTCGGCGAGAGCGTTGGTGGGCACCTCCCGCCATTGCAGTGGGTCGTGCGCGATCTACCGACGAAAGAGCTCAAGGCCATTGTCGGCACGGCCGTCGATCCGTCGGTGGACATGGACCAGCTCTACTTGAGTGCTGTCTTGGACGCCAAGTCGAGCCCGTTCCGGAACTTGCTGCCGTGGCAGATTATCACAAACTACTTTCCCAAGCGGTCGTGCACGGTGCTACCCGCCTCGACCAGTCCAGCGTACGAGAAGAAGGCGGCCCGCCTCGGCAAAACGCTCGTCGAGAAAAGCCACGTTGCGAGTCTCCACGGCGTCCCGCTCACGGGCTCGATCCTCGCCAGCGTCGTCGAGCTGCTCGTGGACCAGCACAAGGGCATTCTTGACGTACATTTGCTCTCGTTGATGGCCTTCTTTGACCACAGACGATGGCGCGTAGGTGCTCAATGGGGCGTGGGCTACCATTCTGCAAGCGGCGGTCCTCGACGTCCTCGAAGTGGCCATCGGCACGTACACGACGTATGTGGACGCCCAGCTGCCCATGTCCAACGCGGACGCAGCGTCGGCATCGATCTCGGTACGACGCAGACACTATGTCCATCGTCAACGACGACGAACATTAGCTGCCATGCGACGCCAGTGTCCTGCATGCATTGCATGGTGAAGCGTGCATACGCGCGGCGCCGCTCCTCGCCCGCGCCGCCAGCATGGGTGACGAGAGCGCAGCGCTCGCCGCAACCATGTTCAAGACGCTCGCGAGCGATCACATTGCCAAGTGGCACGCGCGCAACGACGCGCTCTCCAAGTCGCTCTGCCGCAACTTGCTGAGTGCGCTGCATACGGACGTCGAGGCGTCGATCGCCGCCAAGCTCTCTCGCGACGAGAACGACCCGCTGCTGTTTTCCGACTTTAAAGGCCTCTTTCGCTTCTACAACATTCAGGTCCAGCACATGCTTGCGCAGTATGCGACCGACGCCAAGGGTCCGCAAAAGGTATATTTTATGTTGTCATTTGCTCGTTTTTCAACTTTACTTTTCACAAATTGTCGATCGGAGGGCACTAAGCGTATATTTGACGTATAGATGGCGCAGCTGGCTGCGTTTTACGCGACGTTGCTGCCAAAATTCATCTTGTACCTCACGGACCTCGGCGAACACCGTATCGAGTCGGAAACGATCGCGTCGACGGTAGAACGCTCCTCGACGATGGAATAGCATCATCCATGTCGCCATAGCTCATGCTGGACCGAAGCAAGGGCGCGCTGCAGCAAGCTATGGATGCCAAAGACACGGCCATGGAGGTACTATCGTCTTGCATCCTGTACGAGACACTGGATGGATGTTGCTAGTCGATCAAGGCCACGCAGGCCCACGTGCAAGCCGGCCTCGTCGTCAACGCTCGCTTGGAAAAGGTACACTCGTCGTCTCCTCGTGTATCTCATGTAACCTTGTGTAGCGTCTCCGGGACGTTCTCGACGATGCATTGGAAGGCGTCTCGCTGCTCTACGACGCAGCCAAGCTCCAAGGCGAGTCGCTCGAGCGCGAAGCATTTGTCAACGTACACTTGGTATTACGAGACGATGGTTGACCCCTCGGTAGGTCGAGCGCACGGCCGAGCGCGTGCTCGAAGTGACGCAAAAGACGCAGTCGGCCGACGACGAGCTCCTCGAAGGCTACCTCATCAAGCAGGGCGGCGGTGGCGTCTTTGGCCGGAAGAACTGGAAGCAGCGCTACTTTGTGCTGCACCGGTCGCTGCTCTCGTACGCCAAGACCAAGGACGACTACGAGCGCGGCAAGATCCTCAAAGAGCTCTCGATCGTCGGCTGCGACGTGCGCGAGTCCATGGACGCGGGCGAAGGCTTTGAGATTTGGCCGCCGCTCGGGGGCCAAGGCACGGTCTACGACTACAAGCAAGGCATGTTTGCCTCCGAGTCGACCAACGCGCGGCGCAAGGTCGACGCCGACTCGGACCGCAAGTTTTTCCTGCGCGCGTCGTCGGTCGAGGTCAAAGAGCTCTGGGTCGGCCGCCTCCGCCAAGCTGCCCAGCAGCCGCTACTGCACTAAGATCTAAGACGCCTCCGATTGTACATACATGTCACATACAAACTAGTCGGTCGATATCATGCTGCTGGGGGAGCTCTACCATTCCGAGCTCACCAACCTCGACCTCGATCTCGTACACCTGCGGCTTGTCTCGCCCAAAGGTGACAGGCAAGGGCGCATGCGATGATGTACCATGGGTGTTGGCGAGAAGGATGGCGAGTCTCTTCCAAGGTCGGCGACATTTGGCCAACGCCATCGAGTCGACGGAAGTCTCTAACGATCAAGTGGATTGAAACAGGAGCTACTTGGCGGCCTTGGCCTCCTGCTTCTTCTTGAGCATCGCGAGGTACCCGCCGATCGCGTTCTGCACCTTGTCGGTTTGACAAAAGTCGATAAAGTTGGAGCGGTCTTCGTCGAGGCGGGTGCGCAGGCGGTTGGCCGTCTCGTCGCGCATCATGGCCTTGGTGAGCTTGCGCGCGCTCGCTACACGTCGCATTGGCTGCATGAGATCGTCGATGTATGGCGAGAATGGAGGATGTACACGGAATCGAGAGCCACTCGGCGAGGAGCTTCTCGGCCGTCTCGTGGACCTGCTCGACGGGCACGGCTTCGTCGACCAAGTTGATCTCCTTGGCACGGAGCGCGTTCACTTGGAGGCCGAGGCCAAGCATCTTCTCGGTCTCGCGGTGGCCGATCGTGTTGAGCATCACGTCCCGCATCCAGAACGGCGCGACGATGCCGAGCTTGGTCTCGTTCAAGCCGATGAGCGGCCCGCCGAGTGCCATGACGCGAGAGTCGCAGCACATGGCAAGCATGCAGCCGCCCGCGGGGCTCTGGCCCTCGATGGCCGCGACCGTCGCGAGCGGCGTCGTGTACAAGCGGAGGCACGTGTTCTGGAACGCACGCCAGAATTGGCCAAGGCGCTTGGTCTACATGCATCGTCGTCGTTCGATGCGGCGTGGAAGGCTGCGTAGCCTACCTGCGGCTGGTACATCTCCATAATGTCGAGGCCGCCGGAAAAGATCTTGGGGTTGGTCGACGACAGAATCATGCCCCTAGTCCATGGCCATCAGGAGCCATTCCATCGTGCACGCCATGCGTACTTGATAGCCTTGTCCTTCTCAAGCGCTTGAATTGCCTCGTCGATGGCGAGAAGCAGCTACGCCAGTATGAGCCAAGCTGCGCGACGATCGCCAGTGTACCTCCATGCTCAACGAGTTGACGGGCGCGCGGTTGAGGCGCAGGATGGCGAAGCCATCCTTTTTCTCGACTGTGACGAGGCTGGGCGCAGACGACGAAGACATGGCGCGGGCGCCGCGGAGGCGAAGGCGAAGGGCAGAGCGGAGCATCGTGACCAACGAGGGGCTAGTTGGACTCTGTTGACAAAACAACAAGATCCGTCGAAATCCCAGGTTCAAGTGCCGGATACCACGACGTCATCCGGTATTCGTACCCATTATCCGTAAATCCTATGCAAGACCGTGCTCCACTCGTAGCGTCATCAGGTCGTGACGTGTGCAAGCAGACTCGAGCTCTTCCCGCAGCTTTGCTGCCAGCGCTACTGGTTGCCACGATCGCTTTGGACAACGACTGGGCTGCCAGGAGGGGACGCATTTCCCACATACATCACCTATTTGCCACATATACCACATGTTTATCTTG